TTGTGTGGGGTCCGTTAACTATTAACACCCCATATCTAGCTCTAGAAGTCCCTAAACCTCAGGTGACTGGAAGAACCTATTAGAATCAATCTTTCTCTATTCACCCTGTTCTTTAGTTTTTCTGCAACATTGGCCTTTGCAGGAATACAGGGGACTCTGGCTCTGATCCTACCTAACCCATTTGATGCTTTTTATCACTCCTCCACAGCTCTCCAGCTTCTCCCTCAAATTCAACACCAAAACTAATGCGCTGAACAAGTGGGCCACGCTATTAAATGAGCAAGGTATTTATTTCAGTGGTAGGGGGGAAAAAAAGGTCTCAAAGTGATTTTGGGGCAATCATTCTGTGTGCTGGCAGCCTGGAACACCCAGAAGTCAGCTAGAGAGACTGTGTGGTCAGGATGCTCCCCAAAATCCCTGGTCTCACCTTAAGAGCACTGGGGATTTTGTTTTGCTGAAAGTTTCCAGGCTCAGTTCAAGAGGAATAAGGTCAGGAAGCTTCGTGTTTAAAGCCAGTGGCTCAGCCATTGTCCTGACTTCAAAGAATGTATCAGGGGATGTTTGTCTTCTTCCCTCTGAACTTTCCTTTTGCTTACCACAATCTTGAACTCAACCCTCCTCGTAAGGCGGAACTAGAACTACACACATTACTATAAATCAAAGCATGATTTATAAACATCAGAATACTATAAATATAGAATAAAATATTAGCAAACAAATATTTTCACCACGTCATTTTCAGTACTTTCCTGCTTTCACCAAGTTAAACCAGAGTCAGTTGCCTTAAAATCACACTGCTTTATTATGCTGTTCTCCAGTTTGCATTATATGGATTCTTAGCTGTGCAAAACACAGTCCCCTCAGAGGATGCTTTGATGACTAAAGTCACAGAGCTCCCTTTTCATCACTTCTAAAGAAAAATGTTGATTTGTGCTAGTCCCACAGGACACAAGCTGCTGGGAAGCTGCACTGTATCCCCTGACCTTCAAGCTCTCACCTTATTCCTGACCAGGTGTCCCAGCATCACTAAAACTCTTTGCTCCTTCCTCGAAAGTTTGCCTGAGAAAGTAAGGCCGAGATTTCATTATTGCCAAGGAAATCCCACCAAGTCCCACTGCCCCCTCTTCCCTTTGCCCTGGCACTAGCCTGGCCCCCTCAGAGGGACTGCTCAGCTCACTGAACCAACACAAAGCTGACTTTAGAAGAAAAACTAAAAATTATGTGTTTCCTGATACTCTGGTGTTCAGTGCAAGGACAAAGCTGAAAGAAGCCAGGAAACTACCGAGCTCTTTGCAAAGAAAGCAAGCTGACGGGCAAGAGCTCTGCCAGACAAGTTCCCCGCTGCTGTTCCTGACATGGATGTATCCTGCCAAGCTGTCCAGATTTACTTCTGCCCTAGCAAATGCTGAGGGAGATGCTGAGCTGCTGCATCCCAGAGAAAGTCACCTTCACCAATCACCTCTTCTTCCAGAGAGGAGCTGGGGGGCAGGAAAGGAGGGGCAGGGAGTGGAGCCCCACACTGCGCTAGGGTGAAAAGAACACTGTTCCGCCAGCTCAGTACAGATGTCTCTGATCATCCAGGGCATTGAGATCGTTGGTCCTCTGGCTCCTGCAGGTTTGTTTGTGGCTAGAGCTGAGGAAAACACCAACACTGGTGCTCTGCTGCCTTGCCCAGACAAGGAATTGGTTGCTGTGCCAGAGACCTGCAAGCAGGGAACACAGTTGGAGACTCTGGCTGAGGGAGCAAGGAAGAAAAATTTTTTCTGGAGACAGGCAGGAGAAAGAGAGAAAAATCTCTCCAGCACTAGCCATTTCAAGTCAGAAATCAAGGCTGAAGAGCTTGGCAGTTTGCAATCTGATCCAACAAGCCACCCAAGCATGCCCACACCAGAGAGACTGTGTCTGCACATAAACAATTAATACCTCAAACATCAGTGTCTGCTCCCGGCATAGATCTTGTGGGTTGTTGTTCACTTCATGCATGGGAAGGCTCCAGCATCAGTGGGAAAATGGAGGAAGACAGCCTGTGTGACTGCCCACCTCTGAGGTACCACAAAAGCCACCAGGTACATGAAACCTGGGAGATTCAGCTGTCTCCATTTCCTCCATTTGCTGGAAAACTAACCTCCCACCAACACCACCACTTTGCTCCTCATGGAGACAGGCAGTTCAGGACTCTCTTAGGCAGAAAAAGACAAGGTGGAAACAGTAAAAAAAAAGCTGTCAAGGTGGCCGAAGGAGAAAAGTGGAGCATGTATAGTGAAGAGCCTAGGTCCCAGCCAAAATGCTAACCCCTGCAGGTGTCCACAGTGCAGCAGCATTGATGGTCAAGAACCAGAACAACTAAGAGGATTACCAAAACACACAGGAGTACAAACAGCTGCTACCATTTCTGCTGAAAACACTTGCTGCTCCCACTTCCCTTGTCAGCTCCACTACAGGCAAAGGCAGCACCAAACCAAAAATTCCTCTGATGTCAGAACTAGGAAAGTCCCTACTGAGAGCACTTAACGTTGAGGAACCACGCTCTGACCTCCACCTCTGCTGAAGGGTCAGCCAAGCGCCAGCGAGGCCACAGAGGTTTGGCTGGTGAATGGAGCGCAGCAGAGGTTGGGCACGCAGGCAGGATGACAGAGACCCAAGAGGAATGGAAGTCCCTCTAACCCAGATACAGAAGGAGCAACCAAAGGTGGTGCAGGAGGAGGGGAAGGCGTCAGGACTGCAGAGCCAGTTCTGAACATTTCAGAGCTTCCACTCTCCTATAAGAGCTGCTGCATCAAAGTTTCCCTCCCTCCTCCTCCTCCATTGCCAGCCCTGCAGGGGCCAGGCAGAGCCTCTCTTCCCATTCCTGCACATCTCTAAATTTGCCTGGTTGCTGAGCACGTCTATTCTAGGCAGCCAAAGGCAGGCGAGATGGGGGAAGCGAAGCGCACGCATCAGTTGCCTCATGAACAACATCAGTGCCAACTTCTTCTCTGCTATAGCCAGTTCAGAGAATGTGTCTGATGCGGCACTCCAAGCCAAGTAACACAACTTGTGAAAGAAATCGGGGGGGGAAGAGTTCTTTCTGTACTAAACATCCAGGCAATTCTCAGTTTTCTGGGGGCGCAGGGAGAAGCAGAAATAGCCATCATTATGGAAGAAACTGCTTAATACAAAACATGGATCAGAGTGATCAAATCAAACAAGAAATACCAGGACACAAAAAAAAGAAATACCATTTTGGGACACCAAGCCCAAGCTGAAAACTGTAAGCAAACTGGTCCTGCCCTGGTCCCAAAGCAAGTGCTGCTAACCCTGAGCAGGTCTGTGAGAGCCTGCAAATACTTCCCAGCTCTGGGCAGCAGCATCTGTGATACAGCTAATCCTCAATTAGCCCAGGAGGATTGAGAGCTGACAGCAGGGCTTGTCTCCACAGCAGGGAAGGGAGGCAGAGCGTGTGTGCTATCCACTCCCCCAGCAAAGCAAGCAGTGAACGCACCAGGGATGGGAACAAGTTAATCAGTTTTCATACATGTAAAATCATAGGTGTCATCGGGACTGGGTTTCCAAAGCAGGTAATGAGGGCAGTAACACAGAAGGGTGTATGGTCAGGAAAGCCGGTTATGTCCATCAAATCTTATCTCGTACACACTGAAAAATAAAAACAGTCCCTCCCTCCTGACAGACTTAATCCTCTAGACAGGATTAAAGCCTATCAAGCAATGGGCTACCCTGGAGAGAACAATCCAGCTTTTGCTGGGTGATAGCTGAGATGGTATCAGCAAACAATCCTAGCGCTTGGAAAGGAATTAAGAGGGGAGCACAGGCCACCCGAAGGTAGGAAAGCATTTTCTGCTTTTAGCTTCTCTAGTAATGCCTGGTGGCATTTCAGGCAAAGCAGCTCCCTTTTTCATGCCTTGTTAATCTCAATGGTACAATCGGAGTGAAGCCAAGCCCAGCTCTGGTTCTGGCTTCTCTCAGCTGTAATTACAGGAAAATATCGTCATCTGTCTTTGCAGCCCAGGTCTTGGGCACCCCAAACATGGTACCCAGGATGAGAAGATACTTTGGAAAGCACTGGCTAACAGACTAACCTGCATGAGAGGCATGCCATTTCTCCTACCAACTCATGTGGCAGCACTTGACTCTTTGGCAATTGCCTCAGGCCGTGGGCTTGTCTTTTTTTACTGTCACCCTGTGGTGACCATGAACTCCTGCACACATATCCCTGTTCTTGCAGGACTCTACCAGCCTCACCCAATACCACTGGAACAAACAGGTTTCTGCTAAGGAGACACAATCCTTCTCTGGAGCACTCCTTGAAGAATATCTGTAGCAGAGATAGTTCTTTTGTCTTGGCCTAACTCAAATCAAGACAGCTCTGCAGATGAACTACACTCCGAACAGTGCTCTCCTAACAGATGCAGCTTTGCTCTGTAAGAGGAGTGCCCTCTGCTGAAAGAACAATAGTCCTACAATAGGCAAAGCATTTTTCTCCAGTTTCTTAAACGAGCACATTGCTTGGCAGATCTGGGGTACAACTCGGGACAGACCACAACCCACACAACAGGCAAGTGAATACAGTTCATTTAATACAGTCAAACACAAAGGGACCACGACAGCAAAACAAAACAGACCAGGCAGGAATGAAGTAACAGGCAGGAGAACATGCTGACAGGTCTTAAGTCTGCCGAACCACAGCTGCCATACCTCTCCAACACACAGAGCCACCTTTTTCTCCACGCTGGACAAAGTTGTAAGGTCTCATCTCTGGTGGCCAGAAGGAAGAGGCTGGAGAGAGGTGCCTGAAGCTGGAGTTGCTGCCCTCAGCGTGGTCAGTGCTCTCAAACAGGAGCACACTGCCCACCTGCAAGGGAAGGAGCAGCCACCTCAAGTGCTCCATGCTGGAGAGAGCAACCCCAGTGCAGACAAGAGTTTCAGGGCCAAAGCCCAGAGCAAGGAATATCACAGCTGTTTCAGCACAACTCACCAGAGTCCAGCCTCTCCTGCCCAAAAAGCTAGGGAGCCCCACCAGCAAAGATGAGCTCCAGGGCAGCCTGAATGTCGCCTCCAGTGGCCTGAAGGGCTCGGAGACTTAGCTCGTCATCATGTATGCCCATGTCTCGCAGCTGCTGAAGCTGTGGTTGCCACTGGCTCTACAGATGGGGAAAAAAAAAAAAAAGCAGCTAAGGGAAGGTGCAAGAGTCCAAGCAGAAACAAAACAACCTTCTCTATGGTCCACTCTTTCACACCATATTCTCCCAACTCTCTGGCTCACAAGCACAACACTAAGAGTGCAAACAGATGTTGAACACTCCAAGTCTTGCTGCAAACTCCCCAAATTCACCAGCCCACCACTCCACTCCCACATGCTATTTTTGCATCGGTCTGTCATGCCTCCTGTGAGAAGCCCCTTTTAGCTTGATGCCTTGGCACAGGAGGGAGCTGGAAGAACCACCTCCACCTGGCACCACTCAGTGAGAACTGGGACTTTCATCGGCTCCTGAAGGAAGAGGCTGGGACACTGACCTGCAGGCTGGGCTGCCCTGAAGCCTGCAAGGCATGCTGCAAGGCCTGGCTGAAAAGGTCATTGGTGATGGGCGTTCCTGACTGGACACTGGATGACATCGGGGAAGTCCCAGAGGAGTGACCCTAGGAGGAAATAAGTTGCACAAGGATCAGAACACCCCATCTTGCCTCCTCAAGCCCATATAGAGGAGAACTCAGCCATAAGAATATAAAGCAGCAAGGGCTCCCAGGCTGGTGTTCAGTTAAGCTCTAGTTTCGCAGCCCAGGAGGGTCTCCCCAGCTTCTGGGCTGCCACTGTACCTGGGTGCCAGGGGTGGGTGTGTGGGAGCTGCTCTCTGGGGTGCTCGCCAGTGCCAGCGCAGTTGCCAGCTCGCTCTGGGTGATTGGCCGGGGTCCAGCAGCCCCAGCATAGCCAAGGGAAGCTGGGCGGGAACCAGAAGTGCTGCTGGATGGTGTAGATCTTGTGCTCTGTGTAGAAGAATAAAAAAATAAAACCAACCAAACAAAAAAAAAAAACCTACCCACAACAAGCCACCTCACATTGGTGTCCGTGTCTGGATAAAATCTGGCTTGTGTTCAATCTCAGGGATTTTTTCCTACAATACTGGAGACTCATAAGTGTGGAACTTTTGAAAAACTAACACAGCAGGATAGGATGTGCTTTTGTCCACAAACTCAGATACTACCAAGCTGCAAAAACTGGCAGTAAACCTTTTAATATACCATCCATCACCTTAAAACCAAACTGTTATTAGCCTGTAACAAAACAATTAGCTGCTGACCGGCACTTTTTTCTGCCTAAGTACGCAATTTCTCTTACAAAACACTTTGTCTTTTGGAGAGTAAAACCTCCCTAGCATCACAGAAGGGCAGGGGCCAACACTCACATGCTTCTCAATCATGCTCATCCAGTGCACAAGCCTCTCTGTATCACTTTAGCTACAAAGGTGCTTACTCCGAAGACAAGTGTGGTTCCAAGTTGTGCTTCTGCATTCCACTGTTGTGACCCTACCCCAACACTCAAGTAAATCCTAACGTGAACAGCATCCAAGCATGCCACAATCAACATGTTCGTCTCCGCAATGACCCCAGGAACCAGAACAGCTTGTGCCGTTCACAAACAGGAAGAGAGAAAACTTAAACTGGCATTCCACCTGACCGGGCCACTCACCTGGTGGAAGTCATCTTCATCATCAGAGAGACCTTCAAAGAGAAAGCCTCCTGCAACAGAAAGGAAAATCAACACATGTAGAAAACTAGGTGCTGGTAGGAATTTGGCACCAGATGGGAACCCTGTGGAGTCCTTGCCCGTGCTGGCAGGCTCAGCCCCAGCTAACGCACTGGTTAGGACAGAAGCCCCAGCACCAACAAGCTCACATGCAGCACAGCGGGCCCACTGCTTGCACAAAACAGAGGCCACAGCACTCTGCCACTAACAGTCGATAGACACAGTTAGGAGAGGCCCCAAGGCCAAAGCACCTCAGGTAAGCCTTACAGTGCAAAAATCTGTTGTCATTTCTGCAGGTTCCCCACTCATCTGTGTGGCTGAACATACCTGGCATGTCCCGGTAGGAGCCAGAGGACATGCCTCGGGAGGATGTCTCTGGGGCTGGCAGTGGGGTGCTGCCAGCCACTGAGTGCAGAACCAGGACAATGGCGTTCACAAGCGCAGGGTGAGCTGGGATGAGCCTAGAGAGAAAGAGTGGAAGCACAAATCACGCACACAGGGGAATTAAGAAACTGGCAGCCAAAAACAGCAAAGAACTTAAGGCACAGCCATCCCCACCAACTGCAACAAGACCTCCTCACGTTGCTCCATGCAGCTGAAGAAGCTGCAGCTCCTTTTTGATCCTGCATTGACCCTCCCCACGGTACACATCTTCCACCCGCTCTCACAGGAGCAACCAGCTCCAGATTTGAACCCACAATCTGGAGGTGATGACAGCCCCATCTCCCACTAAATATTCTTGTGGATCAAAGTATCAGCTCCCTCTTTCCTGATGCTGAGGAAGCATCCTGCCCTGAATCTCTGGCTCTGTGTACGGGTACTGGCAGGCAGGAGCAGAACTTTTCTGTCCCACCCAGAAAGAAGCAGTCTATACAGCAGTGCAACAAAGGCATTGCTTAGTCACTGCACCAGCTCACGTGAACTTACGTGTCCAGCATGTTGGGGTCAGCAAACACTGAAAAGAGATCCTTGTCCTGCAGGACTCCTGGGAGGGACCAGGAAACACAACAAGTAAGAGACAGGATACAAGAAACTGGAGTCAATCAAATAACAGCCACGGGAAAAAAACAAAAGAATTAATTGTTTTTCAGGAACTGAGTCACTAGCACACACCATAAATATTCTATTATTGCTCTCTCTGAAGCCTTTTACGTCTTCCTGGAGACTCTCTCACAGCCACGCACCCAAGGGATGGGGCTTTCCCAGCAGATCCCACAGGCTGTGCCCTGTTCCCCATGAGAGGAATCAAATACAGACTATTTGGCTTTCCTCATATCCTCTGGATCTGAGGCCAGATGCAGACTCACCCAAAGCAACAGGGTCGCTGCTGAGGCCAGGAGTAGCTACAATGATCTGATCCAGCGACTCCTTATTCCCCAGCATTTTGAAAACCTGCCAGAGAAATGAGAGTAGAGCCGCAGAGATGCACGATGAGGCACCACTGCAGGACTTTCTCCACAGAGAGGAGACATACAAAAGACACCCAGACAGCACCAAATGAAGCCCCACTTACTGCATCTCTGTAGGCAGGACTGCTGTGCAGGGCAGTGTGAAGGACCCGGAATTCCCGCACTGCTGCCACCTTATCCACAGGCTCTGAGGGAGGGAAAACAGAACAAAATATGGGTCTCCCTCTGTCAGCTTTAGCAGACATTTTACACGTCACTGGGACTTGCATGCTGCAATAGCAGTGATACTTCTTTAATACCCCTGGATTCAGCTAATCCAGGGAGGAAAGGCACAGACTAATGATCATGAATGTCTCAGTACCCTTACTACAGCATGAATGACAAGTAGCTGCATTCTCAGCTTCCAGACATATAAAAATACACAGATATATCCTCCTACACACAAGTGGAGCTGTGTGACACTAACAACTCTAACTCATCTGATTCTACAGCCAGGCAGACTATGAACACACACAAGCCCGCTGATCCCTCGAGCTGAGTAACCAGCTGTTCTCTGGCAACACCCTAAAATTGGTCACTACAAACAGAAAAGGCCATTTGCTCTCCACATTATTTAGCTCATTCCTTAGCTCCTCCACCAGCAAGACAACAGAACACTTATTTGCTGCTGCTAGAGGTCAAGAGCTCCCACCCAAACATATGGACCCATTCCTCCTCCAAACCTCACATCAGCCTCCCACAAACAAAGCACTAGAGAAGCTGTTCCTCAGTCACAAGAGACTGACACAAAACACAACCCAAAGGGACCTAAGGAGGAACCCACACCGCCTCCTCACCTGGTTTCTGGTCAGGCTCAGGCCAGGACTTGCGCAGGACATGAACAGTGGAGCCAGACTGGATGCCATAAAAATCGAGCGTCTGGTCATCCCTCAGCTTACGGCCACAGTAGATGAGATCTCGGAGAAACATTTCAAGATAAATATCTATGTGGCGCACGCAGTTTATGTCCTGGCCACAGGGAGGGGAGGAAGAGGGTGGTGGGACTGACATGACCCACACAGGCACCTACCAATGAGCTCCGGGTCTGGGACAGACTCCTGCAGTTTGCCGGTGATGAGCTGCTTGAGGTACGAGATGCTGCAGCCACCGAGCGGGCATTCTCCCAGCTCTGTCTCCGGCAAACGCAAGATGGACTTGGGAGCCAGTGGCTGATCCGCCAGCTTTACCGCGATATGCCACTCCGGCAGGGCCATCTCACCCCTCGCACCCAACAGGAAGCTTTGGACAGGGAGGAAAACAAACCAAAGTGAGATTCTCCACTAATCAAGCAAATCCGCAGGGCTCACCCTCTCGCTAGGAAGTTAAGCAGAGGCCAGA